TTTTGAACAAACCTTCATCAGGTGACCCAACTAACAGCACGAAAAGGATCACGTCCTCCTCACAGTACTCGTTTGAATCAAGTTCCCTTCGTTGCCAAGAGGCCAAAGAACACGGCAGATACCAACTTGCACTTTGAGCTGGTTCCGTTGGCCTTGACACCCCCCGGTGCGCCGACGATCAGACGATACTCCAGTCACCAAGTGACAAGTTGTCAAAGGCTTCGGGGTCTCCCTAGACTACTATTGGCTGGACTTACGCTAAAGGTACAGTTTGGCCTTGCCAAGCAGTGATGTTCTAGTGGCTCAGGCAGATGCTGCCCAGAGACTGACGGCATCTCCTCCCCGCAAGCCGTCTTGGCGACCACGACTAGTTGGGGGGTTGATACAGCCTTCGGCTCCCTAGAAAGACCCTGTAAACTATCCCAGATCCTGACGTGATGTTGCATGAATCATAAGTCGGCTACTAATCAGGTCACAGCGTGAGGATGAATGATGACATCTCGTCTCGGTAAGGCTGTTGACAGGGTCAAATCACAAATGAGGAGGCGTCTGTTCTGGGATGGCGGTGTCAAATTGAGTGATAAAATACTATTTACTGTCAATTAAGGGTTTTTTCAATGACAAAACTGGTGAAAGATTTGCCAGATATAGAATTACCCAGAGTTTGTTGGAGGGACAGAGGAAATGAGAATTCTGGGGCGTCTACCCTGGATAAGATCTGATGAAGAATGGAGTGATATTGTTCTGGAAGTAAGCATATATGAGTGAAAGACTTTGACATAACCCCGCAAATTTCAAGCAGTCTAGGAGAAATGAGAGCGTATCCTAAGCGAAATCTTGGTAATATTACGCTGTGTTGTTAGGCTATGTAGGCAAGTTTAAACATCATAGGTACCTAGACACCTAAGACCGAATGCGACCAAGTCTAATATGTCTCGCATAGAGCGACTCCAGAGCGCTCTCTTCGTAAAGCAACCATGGCTTCGAATTCATCAATATAAGAAATTGGTATTGAACCTTGTTGGGAGGCAAAGCCCTTTTCCCGCATCAGCTTCAAGACGGCTTGGTGCCCCCTCTGGAAGCCGCTTCGTAGGCGTTGGCATAGTATCCACTCTGATAGACATCCACACCAGAGTCCAGGAGTACTCCAACGACATCAATGTAGCCATGTTGCGCAGCGGCTTATAGAGCTGAGCTGATCCGTAAAACCCGGTTTGTTGATTCTTCAAGGCACCCTCTTGGACCAGAAGTCTGACGATCGATACAGGCCCATTGATAGCAGCAGTCTGTAGAGAATCGCCGAACTGTCCGCAGGCATTGATCAGTGCGCCTCTTTAAAGTAATTACCGGACGGTCGACTGATAAGTGAGCAACGAGGCTGTTCTCAGGGGAGAATCGAAAGCGCCGCTGGCCTCAATATCCATTCCCTTGTCTTGGAGTATTAGTTACACTGTCGATCTATCATTGAATTAAACCGCAAGCGCAACAGCATCCGAAGTGAGAAGACTTTGGTTGCTGAGAGTTTGACTCAGAAACTACTGCAAGACGCCGCTTTGTCCGCTTTGTATCGCTCTCCTGATCTTGAATTCCGTTCGTACTCTGGCAGCTATTGTCGATGTTCAGGCAGTAAATGCAGAATCATGTGGTTTCTGGACTGCGTTGACAAAACCGACCAAGGCTGCACTTTCAATGGCCTTTTCATACTCTCTATCCCTGACAACGACTCCCACTCGTAGAAGATGCATCGCTACGTCTTCTTGTCCACCTCGGCAAGCAGCTTCAAATGCTGTTCCAAATCTAGAGCCCCACGAAACTTTGGCCTCATGGAGGAGGCAATCTTTGACTAGTTGCAAATGGGCAGAAAAGCAAGCTGCATATGAAGAATTCCCATGCCTTCCACACTGAGAGTTGACGAGGGCGCCGCGACCAGCAAGTAGAGACAATAATGCTGAATGGCCACATGCCGCGGCTAAGTGGATAGGAGTTTGGCCCAAATGGTTTTGTAGGTTAACGTTCACGTTGTTGATGCTCGCCAATTCTTGAAGTAGAATGCAGTCGAGCCGAAATGTGCTCGGTGCAAATAGGAATCCACACCTTGATGAGTCAATCGCACTCATTTCGCCTTTCAGAGCATGGTATTCCGGAAGAAGTAGAGTGATCTTATGGGCGTTCATCGCCCAGCTCTCGTAAGAAAGTGTGGTATCCCAATTCTCATCAAAGATGAATGTTGTTACATCCTTTTCAACACGTTTCATAGTAGGTGTGTCTGTGCCAAAATAGAATGCCAATTTGGAGTGGACCGGCCAGTACAGCGCTGCGTAGATATAGGAGTCGTCGCTTGGAATCTGCTTTCCGTTGATGGATACAAGATCTAGTCCTCGCGAGCAAACTCCGATGCAGAGAGACGCGAGAGTGTAGTGAGCTGTGGCAGGTAAAAAGGCCTGATGGCGCCTTAAGAAGTCGCGAACTGACTGGTGAGAAAACCGCAGTACATCGCACATGATGTCTAGGAAGACAGGTTTGGGGCAAATCACCAACACCTGTGTCAAGTCTAAGGTCAAGGCTTGTTCAGCAGATATGGCCTTTAGAAGGGTTCGAGGTCTCGGCGGTTCTACCATGTGTAGAACACAAGACAGAACTATTGTAGCAATGTCTTGTGCCACCTCCCCAGAGGGGAAAATGTAATCGAGAGACACTTGGTAAAGAAGGTCAAGGCCGTGGGGAGGTTTTCTCGAAAGATTGTCACGATATCCTCCTCGACAGTCTCGCGACAAATCCGCTCAATTTGTAATCTCGCCCACTGGAACCTAATTATTGTCAGAAAGACATCACTGCTTAAGGTAAATCAGGCTCCGCCATTTAATTTCTCTCTTGGGTGGCAGACAGCGACTCCCATGCTTTGGTTATTGAAGCCCATAGGGATCGTCGTCTAGTGCCTCATGTTTTGGAGCCTAGATGCCCAGACGCAACTCTGTGATCGAGCTACATTTATCAAGCTTCTTGACACGAATGCTCTTCACCAATTGAGACCTACCATTGCTTGGTCAAGACAACTTCCACCCATGCTGTGAAGAGATTGAGGCGTCTGGGGAAAATCACATAGGTGGCAATCTTGCATTGGGCGATCATAATCACTTCTTCAAGTCGTCCCTGATAACAGAGTACAAAAGCTCATCCATCACAACCCCATCTCTAACAACAGCTCTCCTCGCCCTCCCCTCAAACACAAACCCACTCTTCTCAAGAACCTTCTGACTCCCCTCATTCGCCTCAAAAACACCCGCCCAAACTCTCTCAACCTTCCTCTTCCCCTCCCCATCAACCTCTCCACCACCCATCCCCTCAAAAACCCACCTCACAAAAGCAGGCACAACACACCCCATAACCCCCTTCCCCCAATCCTCCTCTCCAAGCCAGTACCCAAGCTCATACCCCCTCGCATAAACATCCTTCCCCGGCACGAGCCCGATACTCCCCATAGGCCTCCCCGTTTCCGGACAGGCGATGACCCAGTTGTACACCGGCGCGCCGCCGTCGCTGGAATTCATCGCGATCCACAACTCTGCGTCGGCGAGGGTGTAGGGGCGGGGGAAGGAGTCGCGGAGGTAGCGGGATACGGAGGGGGAGTTTGCTGCGGTGGAGAGGGCGGGTGCGTCTGTTTTGTGGTAGGGTCGAATTGTTGCTTTTGGGAGGGTGAGGATTGCGGGTGGGAGATCTTGCGTAGGGGACATGTTTGTCGGTTCTCAGGGTTTAGAATCTCTGCAGACTCTGAGGGTTGTAGGTTAGTGAGTATGTATTGAGTTGTGAGCTGTTTACTGGAAAATGGTGAGAACTCGAGGTGTTGTTGTATGTTGTGAGAGTGTGACTAATACTAGGTACTCAATTGTGAAGCTGCCATTTACGGAATAGTTTCGGGGACACGGACATGGGTCTAATGACTCTTCTGCTCTCTGCAACGATAAGCTCTGCTGACGGCGAGACGAGTTTTCGCGTCTGCCTAGCAGCATTACTCAGGTCCTTCCCGCTATGATACATCTCAAAAAGGCACTCTGAAGGTTCCTGGCGGGAACATAGGATCTAGAGATCTGGACGAAGATTAGCGGCCGTTACGGACAAGACAACAAACGGCAACATCCGCCAAGGTCCGGTTTCGAGACCCTTCTCCAGACTGTTGAAGAACGGGTTAACCCACCCTGGCTTCGTGAACCAAAATGCCAAGCCTTTCGGGACGGAGTTGGACATCGTGCACGCCTCTGAACGAAGTCGAACAGTAGAGAGACGATATGCACGCAATAAATATAGAGATTGAAGTTCAAGCTTAGGTCCAACCAAGCTTGCGAGATGGGCGTAAACAGTCTGTCGCCGTGGTTCCCCATGTCATTATTCCGTCTGTACTCCAACTTGATTGAGTTCAAGCCTGACTGACCCCAACGCAGGGCAAACAAGCTTTAACAAAAAGCAATAAGCTTAAACCGCAACCTCTATTGGCACATGGGACGATGAAATGTCCAGAGAAGCATCAAAAAACATCAAAGAAAAAGATCTGCACACAATCGCTGCGAGGATTTGAGCCTCACGCGGGGGTCGAACCCGCAACCTTGAGATTAAGAGTCTCACGCTCTACCGATTGAGCTAGCAAGGCGGCTGGGGGCCGTATTTGATTGGTGAGTGTTTCCGGCCGGGTCTGCGCCTGAGTTTCGTCCGCGGTCTGCGAGCCGGCCAGTTTCCAACCCCCCCCCCCCCCGGCTGGCAAGGACCTGGCCCGCTGTCTTGCTCCCCTCCCGGCGAGCCGTGAAGGCTGCCTGTCGCTCCCCGGCCTTTGGAGACGATGGATCGCGATGCATGCAATCCTGCAGGAGTCAGAAGGAAGAAACCTCTCACCATTTTGGAACACGTCTCTCATTAACGGGGTGACAACTGGGTATCCGCAGCACACACCAAGAACTCCGAAACCAAGTTTTTGAACGCGCTTCCACATTCAACAATCCTCCAAGAAATCCTCATAAAATCCAAGCCGACTCGGTGTAGTCCTTGGCCCCGTTCTGCACCATGTTCTTGGTATACTTCATCCAGCACCAATTGCTATCCTCCCCCTGCTCGCCCTCGTAAATGTACACAACACCCTTGCATGGGCCTTTTCTCGACTGCTGCTGCAGGTTAAACGCCGCGCAGTACCGTACGCACTCTTCGAAATTCTTGGCTGGCACCTGCGCGATGTCGTTGTAGAGATAATCCGTCCCGCAATCCTTACTAAACGTCAGGTTCGTCCCGGGCACCTGGTATGTCAACACGGAGCTGGACCCGGGACACTTGTTGAGCGCGATGGGCGTGTCCGTGGCGGCGGGCTTGCTTAGGTCGAAGGCAGCTGACGATGACGCCGAGGTGGGTGTGGCGGTTGATGAAGAGGAGGATGGCGATTGGAGGCTGTGGAGATGTATTAGTTTTGCTGTGAGAATGCGGCTGCTCGTGTGTTGTAGGCGAGGAACTTACTTTGCGATTTCGTTGTTTTTGCTTGCCACCAAAGCACCTAATCCGCCCGCCACACCGACCAAGGCGCAGAACAGCAGACTGGAGAGAATCAACAACCAAAATGTGGCTTTGCGCAGCCCGCATATTGTGTCGTCGTCCTTGCTTGCCTTCCTTTCCGCCAGCTGCTTTTCCGGCATCGGCGAGTGCTGATTTTGAGCGTACGTCGTCTCGGTGTAGTTCGTCTGTGGCGTGTGAGGTTGGTGTTGATGCTGATGCTGTAGCTGGTCATAGTACGGTTGCGTCTGTGCCGGCTCATATGATTGCGGCGCCGTGCTGTAGTTTGCTCCGGTGTTCACCTCCAATCCATCCGGGATGGCATCGGCTTCGGGTCCGGGCCCACCGTTTGGATGCTTGAGCATCTTTTCGGCTTCAGGGGATGGGGAGTGACTGCTATAGTTGCTATGCCTGTTGGAATAGAAGTGGTCGTGCGGATGTAGCGATGCCATCGCGCGGAGGGGAAACCAAGACAAGCCACGCTTAGGGACGACAGAGTAAAGGAGGAGGGGGAGGACTTTAAATGAGGCTGCCAAGCATCAGGTAGGGGTAATCTGACCGAAGGTAAAAAATGCGAGACAAAATGGGCAGCGAAGACTGGTCGAGGACTCTCTCGATAATGTTGACGGGGAGCGACATGCAGGATTGACCGTCTTGTGCCACACCACGCGCGCGCAACAAGGGGCGGGGCGTCATCAGCACTTGTACCGGCTGGCTCGCTGGTCCAAGACAATTCAGGACGCCATCCGTTCCACGGCCGTCACAGCGGTAGGGCTGGCGCGAGAATAGTACCTGTCTCTACGGGGTACTGGCCCGCCGTTACAATAAGCTTGCTCCTGTAGCCTGAATCTAGACGTGGGTAGTCAAGGCAGAAGAGTCTCAAGGGAGCATCGCCCCCTGACTTTACCCAAGGAGACTCAGCCCAGAGGCTGAGGGAGGGTGGTGGCCGTCACGGTAGTATTCTCAGCTTTGTCCAATGAGAAATCAGGCGCGGCAGCGATCAGCGCCAAATGGGTTCACACTTGGGATCTTTGGCGCGCGAAGGATTCGACCCCCCGACCAACTCTGATGCATCGTCGGGTCATCGAACCCTTTTTCAGAGTACCTTTGTGCCAAGGCAGCGCGCCAAAACAGCGACCAGCTGTTCGAGTAGGCTCTGGGACTCGGAAGTAAGCCCAAAAGATGAAGACGCCTTCCGAAAGCCACCCAATTTCCAAGCGGTCACCACAGGATTCGCAATTGAGACATCCCTGGTTTCTCCGGCCTTGCCAATGTCGGCCATTGGGAGCGTTGAGAAAGGCGTTTCGTCTTCTGTCTTCCTCGGGGGTTTACTTGGAGCCCGCCCCTTTTCAGCCCCCACGGGAGTATGACGCTGGGATGAGGTGCAGCCGCGCTTCGCTCTTGGGATGTCTTCCACGACAGAAGCTTGAGTCCGTCCAGCACACTGGGCAACGCTTCACCCTGACAGCTTCGCGAGCTTCGCGGTCCTAATATGGCCAAGTGCTGACGGTCAAAGTATGAGTGGGGAATCCGGTGTCGCCCCCGAGTGATGGCCGGGCGGGCGGGTCTCTCCGGCATCTTGGCTTTCCATTTCTCGTTCGGTCGGGAACCACTCCCGCCGGATATTGTCTCGAATGCTGCTTGCCGCACATGCATGCCACCATCATCTCTGTTCGATGCCTGCTATGCCTGCCAATGCGTGGTAGCCAAAGAGGGGGCGAAAGGCATGAATTGGGGACGCTGGCAGGTCTCAGGCCGGAATCAAGCTCATAGCCAAGCTTCGTTCGAGCCAAAATCTCATCAGAACGTGGCGCACCTAGCGGCTCCTCCCGCCAAACACGCCGCGCTGAACGTCTTTGGCCAAAGGGTCCTTCAATGTTGGGGTTCAAGACGGACTGGCTCTTAGGCGGTAATTAAGGCATATTCAATCTTCGCCTTTTTGTCCACTTTTTCGCCTGCGTGGTTGCATTCCTTCTTGCGAGTGACAAGCCGGAAGGGACTACAATTATGGTCTGTCGGCGATTCTATGTTTCTTTTCCCAACGCCGTAGGCGAGCCTTGGGGCGCACTGGCAGAAGCTGTCGTGCTTTCAAGAAGCGCTTCCCGACACGGCACGCTATATCCGTATAAGCGCCAATTCGAGGTCTGTTCAAGCGCAAGAGAACTCTAAAGGCCGTGACGTCAGTTACGCCTCTGGTCAATGTCGGGGCTTTTTGCTTCAGATCAGACGTCCGCTATGACCGAGCGTGAGGAATGAAGGTAATCCCGACGGGCTGCCAACTACCTTCTTGCCATCTCAACGTCAATCGCTCATCTCCACGAAAGAACGAACAATCGAGAAAGTCTCTTGGGGTCAATTGACACGAATAAAAATTCGCCCTTGGTCATGTGTCGCTGGTTTGCTTACTTGGGCGATGAAGCCCAGCTTCTTGAAGATTTGGTCATTCGGCCGCGCCATGCCATTGTGAAGCAAGGTGAGTGTTCTGTCATGACGTTTCAGCGGGGCTTTTCATGATGATATCGGTAGTGGACGAACACTTCCTACCGGCTGGCCATTCAACGGTTGAACCATTTCTTGGAGAGCTTCAGGTCGCCCCTTTGGCTGCCAATGACGCAGGCTCACCGAATCCATTGACCAACATGGACGGATTCGGCCTCGGGTGGTATACGTCGGCAGAGTGCGAGTTCAACCCGTATATCGATCCAAAGTGGCCCGAGTCCCTTCGTCCAGTCGTGTACAAAAACACTCGACCTCCGCTCAACGATCTGGTCCTCAAGAGCATCGTTCGAGGCACCAGCAGCAATGCCGTCCTTGCCCACATCCGCGCAGCCCCAGGCCTGACGCCAGTCGTAGAGACCAACTGCCATCCCTTTGCGTTTGGTCGTCATTTGTTCGCCCACAACGGCATCCTCGGGTCTTTTCCTCGTATCCGTACGGCAATTCTGCAATATCTTCCGTTAAGATACCAACAGGCCGTTGTCGGGACAACAGATGCTGAGCACATTGCGGCCGTGTACTTTTTCATATTATGCGGTAAGGATGGCGACTGGGAGTCTGTTTATGATGCAGGAGAGATGGCGACAGCGATGCGGGAGACTATCATCATCCTCGAGAAACTGCAGACCGAGTTTGGGCCGCCGAGCCGAGAGGCCAACACACTCAACCTTGTTGTCATGTCTGGCAGCTCGCTCGTCGCTGTGCGATATGCCAGCCCGGAAGGACTGGAACCCCCGAGTTTGTACTACTCGACGACAGCTGGAGCAACGCTCAACCGCAAGTACAAGGGATTTCCAAGCGACGTGAGTGACTCGGCCGATGGTGGTGACGGGGATGCCGAGGACGACGGGCGGCTAGAGAAGAAGAAGCATGGAGAGCACGTCGTGGTAGCCAGCGAGCCCAGCACCTTTAACCAGGGCGAATGGGAGCTTATCAAGCCATCACAGATGGTTGTTTCTGAACTGGGTACTGGTGCCTATCTCGAGCACTTGTGAGGAGTCACTTATGAGGGTCATGTTTTCGACGGGGGATGCAAGGCAGCCTTTGGATTGGCGTTTGGACGTTTGATTATGGGCTGTGATTTCCAAACAAGTTATACGTGTAACGCCGCCTTCGGATCGTCTGTACCTTGCTTGGAGTTAGAATCGTACCCACAAGGTGCCAGCATCTTTCATTATTGCAACTCCCACGGGTATGCTCAGCTCTTTCCTGACCGTTTCTTTTCTCGACCGCTGTGTCTAGTCGTGCTTCCATCATCCTGGTGTCTTCATGTGCGCATCCGCGTGGCGAAGGGTGAAAGAAAGGAACTCTGTCTGGTATCAGTCCCACATCATGGCAGATCAGTTGATTTTCAGACGTGGCTCCCGCGGGTTGATTGGCGGCATTGGCGTGGAACACCGGCAGGTAGCCTACCAGGAGCAAACAACACCACCGCCTCGCCGTTGTGTAACGTTGCAACCTGCGAGAAGGATAGAAACAAATTTTCGGCGAAAAAGCAGGAAGTTCGCATCAGACCAGCTTTGGAGCTACCTGTTGAGAGCGTTGAGAGCGAGGCCAAAAGAGAGAGAAGGTCGAACATGTTGGCTACCAACACCTAGGTGACAGATGGGGGGAGGTGAGGACGGCAAGAAAGGTCCGAGGTTCCGTAGAATCCAGCCCTGTCCAGATCGGGGTGAATTAAAAGAGAAGGAGGAGGGCAGCTGCTCCTGCTGTGTCAATAAGTCAGGTATCCAAGGCAGGAGCTCTTTCTTTTAGCACACTTCACCTTCCTTTCTAACCTGACATCGTCCACCCAAGTATTCACCTCTTGGCCTCCTTTTTCCTTGTTTCTTTTGTCACCGCTGTTCTACGCTGTTTTTCTCTCCTTTTGTCCATCGAGACTCAACCATCGAGCCGCTTTTTTTTTCTCTCATTTGGCCGCCGTTTCAACCGCAGCTTGTGCGTCTACTTCAGACTCGACAGCAACTTCGCCCTGGCCTTGGGCACCTTCGAGTCGACCATCGCTTCGATAGTGTGTCGGAATTCGCCCATTACGCGTACGACTTGCGACTGCCGGGAATCATGGGGGATCGAACGCTATTTATCGTTCTTCTCTATCTGGCCTTCGGTCTCCTAGTCAACGCTACGGAAAGCGAAAACGACGACTATGACCAGTGCTACTTTGATGCAGGTTATGTCGGTCCACCTAACCTTCTGCCTTGCTTACCGGCGAATGAAACAAAAGGTGGCTTCAGTTGGTGCTGTCTGGCAGGGGACGCCTGCGTCAATGAAGCCTGTTGGAATCATGATTCGGGCGTGACTTATCAGTATGGCTGTAACGACCCGAATTACGCAGACAAAATCTGTCCCCTCAAGGGCGATCTCGACCCAGGTCCGTTCCTCCTCTGCCATGACCCATTGGGTTCCTTCAGGGCACTAACAATTAATCAATCTGACAGCCAAGTCCCCCTGGATAGGGCTTGTCCGGTGCGATACTGAGAACGAAGGTATTCTGAAATACTGGGCTTGTAACCATCCAGATACCTGCGGCGAAAATTGCCCGACTGAACCCGAGCGACCGCAGGTCACCCAATCTGTCTGGCCCTGGAAACCTCAGGCTTTGCCACCCAACAAAGACTGCAAAGATCTAGGAAGGCGGGTTTTGGCAATGTATGCCCCAGCAACGATTCCTTCAGCTGGCGGTGTCCCATTGGCGTATACGGCCCCCGCAAACAAACCGTCTCTATCAATGCCGCCGTTGCAAAGCAGCGGCACGACGACATCTCTGGCTTCTTCAACCACACCTACCTCTATTTCCGATCCTGGGACTTCTGTCGTAAACATCACATCACCCACAGCTGCCACCCCTACATCCGTGGACTCCGAGACGAGCAGCTCAACCCTAGGCACCGGGGCTATTGCTGGCATTGCCGTTTCCTCCGCCTTTCTCATAGGATCAGCCTTGTTCGTCGCCTTCATGCTACTCCGACGTCGTCGCTCCCGACATGGTCCGGTACTCAACACCCATGAGACTGAGACTTATGACCACGAACAGACTGTTCCTGCAGAATTGCCTGACGAGAAACACAACCTTATAAATCCCCACACCCCGTCCACAGCCTCGGACGCAGGACAGGGCCGGCCAGTCTCGGACATGACTCTGAGCATGTTTTCGCCCAGTCCGCTCAGTACGCCGAGAACTCCAGGCTCGCCGTATTACTACCACGGCGTCGGCCAAGCCCCTTCGGAGTTGGCGGATCAGCCAAGGGCTATACACGAGATGCCGGCAATCAATGAACGGGTCGAGATGCCTTGATTCATGGGATAGTGGTACCACTATATCCAGGTCGCGGTAGGGGGAAGGCTTTGGTATCGCTGTTATGCTTTAGGACTCGGACACATACACATATTTAGAGAATACTTCACAATGGCGGACTGATATGATTGCCCCTCTGCGTAACCCTTTGCTCAGTCATCTTTGGGCTATTGGCACATTATTGGATACAAATGCTACGTCTTTGCCAATAAGTGCTCGACAAGCTGACCTCACGAGAACGAGGCGCTGTGCATTACTGCAGAGGAAGACCACATGGAGGTGACGACGTTACACGGAATCCACCCTCCCCTGTATTCAAAGGGAAAGTGCTTTTGAGCAGTACTGAAAACTCAATAATATTGAGATTCACTTATACTAAAGTACACCTTTTCGAATACGTGTTGCGTCAAACACCGTCTTATCAGGCGATTGACCGGTAGGTCCTGATACAGTCCTCGGCGTCCTTCCCGTCGTTCTTACACTCGGGCTTGCAGAAATCATGCCAGTCGTAGCCATACTGTCCCCAACAAATGGGAGCACCCCAAAATTTGGCGGGATTCAGCATGCGACACTGCGGATCGACATAGATCAGCAGCCATTACGGCTTCACACGAAGGGGTTTGGAGGGGATGGGAAGATATTTCATACCGTAAGGGCACCCGCCCAAGGGCCGCTTTCACCCACCAGACTTATGGTGACTTGGTCTTTGGGGAGGGATTCGTTCTTCATCCAGATACAGGCCTCTTTGGATCGGATAGTGTGGAATGACCATGACTGGCAGATGCAGTGGAAGAAGTCTGCGTTGACGGAGGCGATCCAGGTGCTTGTAGAAAGTAAGCATCGACATTTGTGAGCTATGTAAGAGAGGTTGGAGGCTTACTTGAGGAGAAGTAGATAGAGTACCTGGAGCTTCATTGTGGTTTAGAAACGTCTGTGTCGGTGAAAGCTCTGGTGTGCTCGTGGTCTAAGGTATTGAATGAGTTCCACTTAGTGACAGAATGAGGAACTAAATTGGAGGATGGGCAGGAGTCACATTTTTGTACCAATGTCACGCTAGCCTTACTTGAATCATCAACACCGTTGTAGCTGCCGTCTCGCCATCACGGTTCCAGCCATCCGTTTTACAAACCTCGACAGGCACATCGCAACAGCATGCCAGTCAACTCTCCCTCACGGGACACCTCTATGGACATATACCGGTTCAACTACTACGCGCGCACTACCACCAGCACATTGCTTGACCAAATTTCCGCACTCGGGGCTCTCGAAACCCTCTTCTAGATTTCGTGGATTGAAAGGCACCTACTTGTCTACCCACATCTTGACTCGTTAGACGGCTTGAAGGCCGGCCGTGCGGGTGTGGGGAATGTGGTTCCGGCCCCGCAGTGCCGACCGGCCGGAACTAAGACAGGCACAGCAAGGTGATCTGGAGAGTGGGCCATTGATTGGATTAGTGGCTAAAGTCTTTCACGAAGCCCCTCGGATAATGGGATATCTGGGACTGCTTTTACCTGGTGAAAAGGGATTGATTTGCCATGTATCAATCTGTAACAGGGGATATGCAGCTCTTGAACGTTTTCTGGGCATGGCAGTGTCGACATTCACTGACCTCGCCCCTCGTCACGCAATCTTGGTCAAACATTGCTGAGATCTAAGCGCATACTCGCTCACGAAAATCAGCACGATCTTGAGTCTCATTTCACTGATTCAACATGCTACCGACCTCTGCAGTGCATTCCCACAACGTGGACATTTGACAGGACATATAGTATGTAGCTTCAGCTGCCTTCCTTGACTTGACCCCTGCCAGAGGCGTGCTAGGAAGAAGAAAGGCAGGCCAGAGGAAGCGTATTCTCAGATCGCCTGTGGAGCCGTAAGTCGGGTGATCGGCCAGGCACCTTTCAGTTAAAGTCGTACTCTATGGCCTGGGTGGGAAGGTACCTAGGTCTGCCCACATCTCCGCTAACCGTGCCTGTGCGGGGCAGGTTTCCAAGCTATGTCTATGGCAGAACAGTGGGCTATCCAGGTACAGTACCTTAATCGCTGTGCACTTGCTGGGTACAGTGGAGACTTTGGACAAGGAAGCACTGCTCTGCGGCGATTACAACCTCACTCACCCACGCTAGAGCGGTATCCGATGTCTAAGTCCCAATGCAAAGGCATGGCAGTTGTGCGACGCCACCGAGGCGGCGGGAATGAGGTGCGTGCTCCGGCTTGCCGCCTCTCCACTCGCCCGCAGCCCTCGAGGAGTTTATCGACGCCGTTACGGAAGCGATGCAGGCGAGATTAGCGAAATTCGTCCCGATCGTTACGCCACCAAGTATCACCGGTCCTGTCCGCAAGTTCGAGGAAAGGTATCCACGCCAGCCTCGAACTTGAAGAAGCAGCTCGGCGCAACTGCACCCTACAGGACAACGACGACAAGCTCTACAGCAAGAGGCAGTTTCTTCGACGACAAACGGACAGACTCGTCAAGCAAATCTCGACAATGTCGTACCGCGATTTCGTTGAATCCAGCACAAAGGTCATGGCAGGAACCTATGGCTTGGCTCGAGTGGGCGCCCGTTGGGACTCGGCACAACCACGAGTTCACATGCCTGATCTCAAGGACCCATTGACCCACGAAGTCTGCAGCGCCCCCCAAGACAAGGTCCGTTGTCTCACCAATTCGATCTGGCCCAAGACCAGTACCGGACCAACGGCACCAGTACAAAACTGTCCACCACTCGATCCCGCTCGAATACAGTACTCCTCTCCACAGCAACTCGACTGCGAAGAGATTTATGAGCTGATCTCCGGTATCCCTAGCGGAAAGGCCGAAGGACCGGACGGGATTGCTGGTGAGGCTCTCAAGATGCTGCATGTTTCAAGAGATGAGCAAGAACCCGAAAGTGAGAGGGAAAGCATCATCGCCCCGATTCTTGAACACATCATAAATGCCTGTTTTCTCTTATCGCATCATCCAGCGCAGTTCAAACGGTCCAGGACTGTCATAGTCGAAAAGGCGGACAAGCCAACGTACGAAACACCGAAGAGCTGGCGTCCTCTCGCCTTGTTATCCTGCATGGGCAAGGTTGTAGTAAAGGCCATGTCGAATCGCTTGACGATACTCTCCCTTGAGCACCGCCTTGTCCCTTACAATCAGTTCGGATTCGCACGACGGTCTACGACAAAAGCGCTCGAGTTGATTCTGAATCGCGTCTACCGATGCTGGAACGCCAGCCCGCGCATGTTTGCAACGCTCATGACCATTGACATGACTGGCGCCTTCGATCATGTCGATCGAGAGGTTCTCCTCAACATCTTGGTTCGGAAAGGTGTCCCTGACTGGATGGTTCTGTACATCTCTTCATTTCTTTCTGATCGACGCGTTGCCCTGTCTATTCCAGGATACACATCAGAGGAGTTCTGGGTCAACATTGGCATTCCCCAGGGCAGTCCTCTTTCGCCTGTCCTCTTCGCCTTGTTCTCCTCTCTTATACTGGACGAACTCAACAAGATCTGGCCGTCGAGTCCATTCTTCCAAGCCATGTCGTACGTTGACGACACTTGCATGGTGGTCACCTCACCCTCCTACGAGGAAAACTGCAGAATCTTGACAACGGCCTTTACCGACCTGATTGCCGCTACCGCGCCGCATGGCATTGCCTTTGGCCCTTCCAAGACACATATCATGCATTTTCAGAATCCGCACAGGGATACTCGGGGGGCCAACTCGAGAACTGCCGACGAACCTGAGCAACCCAGAATCATACCATTGGCAGATCTACCAGACGTTGGTGTGGAAGGGGCAAAGAAGGAGGAGGTGATCAAGCTTCTCGGGGTTTACTTGGACCAATCTTTGACATGGGCCACGCACGTAAAGGAGGTGAGTACATACATCCTGACATGCTTAATGCAGCTGAGTACGCCGCTGACAATGTGGGAGACAGGTTACCGAGAAGATGGAAGCCAAGATGCGCACCATCTATCGTATTTCCGGCTCGACATGGGGGCCCTCTCTCGCCAGCATCAGACGCCTGTACATCACAAGTGTCCGCCCGATCGCCGCATACGCCGCTCCCGTGTGGTTCCTTTATCGAGACAACGAACGCAGGGTTCGCTGGCAGATCAGCGTCAATTTGGTCACGAAGCTCGACAAGGCACAGGCGGCGTGTCTCCGACAGGTCGCCGGCGCTTACCAGACCACAGCGAACGCGGTCGTCCACCAGGAACTTAATGTCCCGCCGCTTTCTCTATTCCTTGAGAAGCTCGGCCAGAAACATCGCACTCGCAATCTTGACACCCCGGAATACGGTTCTCTCGATACCGTGTGGGGAACCGGTACCATGCCGAAGACCCTAAGCGCAGCGAACAACGTAGCACACCCATACCGCATCCTCTACAAATTCACGGCCGCTTCTATTGATTTCGCGGCCCGGAAGCAACTCATCGAACTCAACGAGAAGCGAGCTACGAAAACAGACCGGCGCGGTTTTCCGCTACCGAAGTTAACGTGGCGGAACTTCCTTGACCGACAGCAAGTGCGGGGCAAAGTCATCAACGACAAACTTCAGGAGGCATGCGCGCGGTACTGGCAGAACTACCTTGACGCTCGCCAAGACCGAAGGGAGGATCAGACCGAGCCAAACCTTCGCATCGCCAACCACCGTCCTCTCTCCCTCTCGGAAAAATGGGGCCCAGCCAGCTTGAAATACTATGCCAAGCTCACGCGTGCTGAGAGCACCATGTTGTTCCACCTTAGGACTGGTGTCGTGGGACTCAAGTCCTACCTCTTCTCCATCCATGTTCGTCGCATTCCCTTCTCCTTTGCCGGTCTCTGCCCTTGACTGACCCTTGTGTCTCCACCAGGTTCGCGACATCGTCGACGACCTCTGCCCGTGCAAGCAGGGCAAGCACACCGTCGAGCATGTCTTCATCCACTGCCCTGCTTTGTTAGCTGAGCGGACACTGCTCTATGAGCAAGTCGGTCACCATGGTTTGAAGAAGTTGCTGACGCGTGATTCCAAGGCTGCTGCCGCGTGGGCTATCCGCTACCTATCCATTGAACAATTTGGCTTGACTGGGCGGCAAACACCCGACAAAATCTTCCAAAAGAGAGATGGAGCGTGATGGGGTGTCTGGTGCCTCTGCCTCGGAAACTGGAACGAGGGAGGCCGGGGGAAGACAGCCTTTGGTGCAACTGCAGGTCATTACTGGTTTGCTTAGTACTCGGGCACTACAATGCATAGTTTGCCCATCCATCATGCGAGAAGTCCTAGTTATGCCTCGATAGTGATAAATACACACATTATCACTTACCCTTTGGGGTCCGGTCCGCCTCATTGGGGGCCATCTTCGCCTTCACGGGCAAGCTGGTCTATTAGGGTCAATATCGAGTTTCTATTGCGTACTTTAACAAGACTTCATAACTGACTACAGCCGGCCGCAGCCGTCACCGAGTAGGTCATTGCATCACCACTAGGAAACGCCTGTTTCCGTTACTCACTTGGGACTGGACTGACGCGGCAAGACACGCTGACACAGCTCAAACAAACCGTCACTGTAGGCCACCAAACCAATCCATTCATTACATGCCTCAGCAGGAAGCTGACCAGTCTTCAGGACGACGTAACACATTAATCGCCTTCCGAACAGCCGAATACCACCCCTTACTTTCTCCCTTTATCTTATCTAACAACAACCTCTCCCTACTAATATTCCCATTTAACACGCTCGCCTGCGCTCTTTCTAAGCTCCCAATCATACCATCAAGTCTAGGCTTGTCCACACCACTCTGTTGCATCAGAAGGGCGCCGATGAGGGCGACGCGTATGTAAATTTCTGCTCAAGGTGCTGCAGGATCCTAACTAATGTCAAATCACCAGCTATCATGATGTATCTGTCCGTCTTCCGCAAGTCGACATTGCGGATGTGGTATCTGTTGAGGCGGTCTCTCCACAGCTCGGGGTCGTCTAGTATGATGCTCGTGGGATCGAACTTCTGGGTGCGTGTTCTGATGAAAACGCACATGCATCCTCTGACCGTATTTCTTTAGCCATCGAGGAAGCCCCAAGGGTCGACGAGTTGTTGGTGGCGTCTCGGCATTTCGACAAAGTGTGCTTGAGGTAGGGACACAACTGACATGCCGCTTTCTTATGTTTTGTGCTCTTTATCAATGACTCTGGCTCCAAGCTTGATTAGGGGGCGATGCATTGATGCTATGCGAGCGAGTCTTCAGGATTGGAAACCAGTGAATAGGTTGAGTTGAAAATTTGACCGTGAGCTAATCATCTCAGAGTAGGTAGACGGTTGGACAGTGACAGCGACAGCGACAGCGCGACAGCGACAGACGGCGAGGGAAGGTGTGTCACACACATACATGAGCGCGTGCCATGGCAAATCAATAACTGATTCATTCCAGCAGCGTTTTCGACTTCGACAAAGGAAACGAGGTAACGAATGTGTGTGTGTGTGCGAGTTGAAGTTGAAAGTGTGTAAGTTTGTCATCAAAGCCATCCAAACTTCCTTTTGAACATGACTTGTGCTGACGGGTTCTCCTTAGCAGGGCAGACATCGTGGTGAGAGCGAGACCGCGACCCGACAGCGTCACTGACGGTCCGTAGCTAACACCGCCATGGCTTGCAGAGGTCGACATCATTTAACGACGGCGACGAGGGCATCTCCGATTCCACACCATTGTGAGCTGCTGTCACCTGGAGTACGTTTATCCTCACAGGCTGTGGTCACTAGAAAATTCTATCTTTTGTAGAGAAGCTGACATTATCTAATAGAGGGCAGCCAACTCAGCCAGGTGCGCGGGTATGTTAACGTCTGGACGTCAGGAGCCTCAGCAGCACGAAACACTAACAGACAACAAGCAGGCTCACAAGGTGGTGGCGTCGGGCGCCCAACATCGCCGTCAATGATGTAAGTGTCCTGGACATTCATCTCAGTTCACCATGAGTCCCTGAAACGGATCTCTTATAATCATTTATGGAACGTATTGCTAATGCCCACTCGACATCCAGCCGTGGTTGTGAACTTTGCAGGAGGGAAAGATAAAAAGGAGGAAGGAAATTCAAAAAAAAAAATAGTCTACCGAGACAGTGTGAGTATCCACTGATACCGTGTATTAATACCGTGTAAAGGATATCGAGAATCGCCCGAGCAGCTAGCAAAGGCAGAATACTAAAACAAATAAAATTGGGCGATACTCCGTCCTAAAAAAAAAGATGCTGTTCCACCTAAGCCGTCTGTGATTCGTGATGTACTATAACTATACCGCTTTTCCAGGCCTCCCTGACATATGAAATGGTGAGTTTGCTTTTCCTGTCCATACATCCGTTCTTGACTTTCAGCCACGCTTGCTGTGCCACCTCGTGGGTCTGGGAACCCCTTGGTTCACGTTAGGTAGTTCAGTTCAGCCACATTACGTACCGGAGAAAGCTGCACATGCGGACACCTTGATCAACCTGCTCACTCAGTCATATATCTAGCCTGCCTGCACACCAAAGATCTCTATCAAGACCGAATTACCTTCAACTTCTTCTCTTGACCTTACCTTGTCATTTCCGCACAGTCATTTCCAAACACTCATTCACTCGCACACGCTCGCTCACTCTCACACACAATGGCTCAAATCGCCAGTTCACGCGTTTGCGATGCGCAGGGCGGCTTGGTTTTCTTCAAATTTCCAAATGAGTTGCGCAACTTGATCTACAAATACTATCTTCAGCTTGACGATGGATACAAGCTTAATCCGCATACCAACAAGCTGCGAACCGGCAACGACAAACCCATCTCTCTCGACTTGTTGTACACCTGCAAGCGCGCAGCCTTGGAGATGCGAGGGTTACCCTTTCAGCATAATATCATCACCTTCTCCGCGTTCTGCCCTCAGTCGCAACAAGGCCGCTTCAACGCTGGTCACTTCAGCAACATGACGCGCATGATGGAATGCGAACTACGGGCACTCTTCCACTACAGTCTTGATCCCAGCTTCTTCCCCCGTCAAGTGGTTAAAGAAGTTTTAGACGCGTATCCAGCTTTCGCCCCCATTTTAGACGCGATGAAGGGAGAAGAGTGGCAAAGTTTGGATATTCATCCTCCTTACGGCAAGACTCCGTCGACTTTTCGCAACTTTGTCCGTTTCACTCTAGATACGATCAAATCCCATCGATGCCTCTTTGAGAACCGCAAATATGAACAGATCATCGATCGGCGTCGGCAGTGTCTTGAGAATGGACGTTATCTCGAGCGGGGAAATATTCCACTGAGCCAACTGTTTGGGCTCAGACCCCAGAATTGGACAATTCCCACCCAAAAAGATGTCAATGACATGACTATCCTCTCTGACGGGCTCGAGACTTGCGCCGTATTTTGCGACGATCTTTACGATAAGCGCGAGCCGCCCGTGGATCTGACCAGATTTTGTTACTCAGCAGTTGTCGGCGCTATTCAGTTTCTAGATTCGATGCTCCCATCGTCTCGCGCCGATGTTCGCCGCATCAACCTCATAGAAGATCGACCGTCACTATCTTACCCGGAATGCCACGGTTTGGGGTTGATACGGTTCTGCCAAGAGAATCCGCTATTACGCATCGAGCGTCACGTCGGCTTATGGGATACTATATTCCAGGGCGATCCCATGAGTATGGAACCCGGAGAGGAGGAGCTGCCCCGGAGGGAGAAGAAGACAGACGAGATATCTTATTCCATAGCCACCTGGATGGTAGAGGCCTTGGCTTTACCTGCAGCTGGTATGCCTCAGGATGCGTTCAAGTTGATGTTCGTTGGAGATTCAGAGGGAGACTGGGAGTGTGAGCAAATCTTCCGCAAGATCGTCCTACGAGACGCCGCGTGGCAGGAGGCAAGGGACGAATGTTTCAAACGAGGTATTCTACCACCGCTCTCTTGGGCGGAGAGGAGGGCTGGAGCCTGGGGAGGGTCTTACGATGATGATGCATTCACAGGCTCGAACCCCCTTAGTCGTTGCTTTCTATTCGAAGACTTTCCGCGGGCGGTGCATGAACTTCTCAATGGAAGTTCGCTCATCACCTGCAACTTCAATCCAGGCGAAGCTTGGAATCTCGAGAAGATCATTGAGAACCGGCGATCTTGGTCTTTACGCAAGTGGAACCGCAAATGGTCGCGTGGGAACCAGTCGTACAGTAGAGGCCTCGGCCCTCACGACGCCTCAAATTGAGCGCCTTCTCCATAACGCGCGCGGTGAAAGCACCTACACCAACCGCTTAGGCATGAGTCGGGGAAGGAGACGCGCTAGATTAGATGGAGACGATCGACGGGGGGGATGCGCCTTGTCAAGATCTGACGGCAAATGTCGACGATTCTCATCGTACAAGAGATAGGAGTCGAGAAGTGGAACTCCAGGATGAATTGGAGTTATTGCAAGACTTGTCTCCGTCGCAAGATGCGCAATGCTCTATTATATACCTAGGTCTGATTAGAGATCAGTCCTCGTCCAATCAAATATGCGTAGACTTGCGGTTGTTCCTCTAGACATTCTCCCAGAAGATCCTCATCGCTCATTTCAAGTTTGGCACCGTGATCAATGAGTATTCGGACCGTTCCAACGCTCCCGTGAACCAAGGCGATTGACAAAGGTCCCTGTCCCCCATTTTCCAAGGCAGACACGTCACTTCCGTGTTGTAAAAGGGCTCGGATCGTTTCTTCAAACTCTGCTCCGAAGGCTGCAACATGCAAGGGCGTTTGCATCATCCTATCTAGCCCCTCCACATCCGCACCGAGCCGAACAAGTTCACCTACAATAGTCTTCCCTGCTCCCAAATGGGCGGCGAGATGAAGCGCCGAGTATCCCTTTGGGTAGACATTCCAGCGCTCTTCAACAGCCTCAAGCTCTTCGTAGCTTGATTCCTCATTAAACCCCCAGGCTTCGGCTGCTTGCAAATAGGAATCGATTGAAGCGGCTTTGGAAGAGAATTGTAAGAACGCCGCAGAAATGCTTTCCACGTCAACATGAGCCATCAATAAACTCAAGTTTCGTGCGGCAAAAGATAGCAGTGGATGGTCTTTGAAGCGGCGTTTGACTGCTGTAGATGATCCACATGCGCCGGCTGTGAACTCTTGTTTCGACAAATATCGCAGGATTATGCCGGCAATTGTGTCCGTTGGGCAGTGTGTCGCACGTCTTTCATCGAGATGCTCTGCCAGAAGAGGAGACTTGATGCCCCATACCTGTATTTGCTCATTGATAAAGACAAAGTCCGAGCACATGCGGGCAAGATCCTCCGTCGTTGCTAACAAGGCACCTGCAAGCCACTGATCGCTCATACGCAAGGCATTCAAGATAGCCTCGCCATTAAGATGGTGTCTAGTCTTCTTGGCCGCAATGAGAAGATAGAGAATCGTCATGATTAGGTCCCCGTGTGCAGACTGAGTGATGCTAGCCACGGCGAGCTCGCAAAACGTGGCGCCCCTCTGCAAAGCATTCGCCCGAGAGAGTTTCTGCGAAACGGCCTCCAAAACCCCGAAACCCGTTGGAGATGCTGATTGGTGTAAGTCTTGACCAGATATGGGCATAAAACTTGATAGCGTTGATCATGAGCGAATGCCAGACAGGTTGTGGTTATGAAAATGTGCGCGCACCTACCGGTGGTCGAAAAGCCCAGCCCATCGCGTCAACGTCTGTGCCAGCTCAGATTTGGATAGCGCTCCAGCGTGTACATCGTGGTTGCTTTGAAAAGACTGCTGGAGGTATTGAATCAGATCCTTCTGACTTGCACATACCTCTAGGCTCGCTCCTTGAAACCTTCGAAGGACCTCCTCAAAGGGCTTTGAGCGGCTCAATAGAACAACATGAACGGACGACTCTTTGTCCGAGAGGCGAAGCTTGGCCACAAAGTCGCAAAACGCGGCCGGATTTGGATCGTCTAGACCGTCTAAGACGATGTAGATCTTTTCAAAGTATGCTTCGAGTTCGGCCCAGATTACCTGGAAGTTGTCTAACCACCACGTGAACACAATTGCTGGTGCGGAGATGAGTCTTTTGAGGGTCTCGGACGACTCGGGGAGTTGGGCTACAATCTGCCTGGTAATGGAAGTGATCGCAGCCCCGAAGTCTACCAATGAGTGATAGACTCCTTTGTTTTCGAATTGTACACAAGCGACGGCGAACCTCATGTTGGAATCGAGCTGGGTGGCTGAAAGGTGTTCGACGAGGAGCGAACTGTGGGAAATGAATCGTCAGGTCCGCCAGAGGCAAGAGTCTGAGCGACATACCTTATGCAACTCTTTCCGGTCGACGCTGGAGTGCAATTAGCCACTGAACAATAGCGCTGAATGCGTACTCCCATCAATGTAGAATTAAGTTTTGCGTACCGGCACCATGAACCCAGAGAAACTGCGGGCTCTGAGACCTCGCCCAATGTTGTACTTGTGGGTTTTGTAAGAACTCTTCTCCAATGCTCCCTACACGTCGACCAGCAGTTTCCTGAAACTTCCTCGACGAGCGATCACCTGGGCTGAGTCTCTCCAGGAGGAGGCTTCTTTGGCGGGTGAGATCCATTCTGGGTGGCTCCAGGAGTCAATCTCAATGCTGAATCGTAACGTCGCCAGCTATGGGCACCAGCGTGAGTTTTTGTAGTTTAGCTACTTGGAAGATAGAATGATCAGGCCTCCGTGCGGAGATATTAATTACCGGCTATCCATCTGCGCAATGTGTGAATATGTACATGCTTTAGGTAAGGATACGAGATACGCTAAGATGTTGCTGCCTACCCTAAGCTAGGCAAATTGGCATGGAACAGCCTGGATGCGGGCCAATTCACAGTCGTGAGATTTCTGCCTGGTTGTTTCCATTCTCCGCGTCACATCGACGTTCATCTGACATAGATAGCCTTCAAGAATTGGCTTCTCTTAAATCAACCTTTCTAGTCATTTGTTGTATGGCTGGCGCACATTCCATCGGTTAACCATTTCGTGTACTTTTACAAATATCCATCACAAGAGATATCGGTCAAAGTCGAATGCCGATTCGGCTTGGCCTGCGGCGAGACCAGCC